TAGAAAGAGGTGGCGTGATACTAGTCACGTGACCTCGCTGACGCAACAGTACTTTAGGAGGAGGAGGTTCGAATTGAACCTGACCCTCCCAGGTCGCGTACAACGAACAAAATATTGATCCAGACAAGACTTCAATCGTACTTTAATTCTGCAAGTTTTATTACAAATATCTGTAAAGAAAATTTAGTCTAAATATTGTTTCATCATGCTGGTGAAACGTCCAGCACGTATTAGGCATTGCATAAAGAATTTCATAACATCAAATAATTCTCATGTAAAAAAAATGATTTTCCTATTTATCTGATAGATAGAACAATGCGTAATTATTTGAATAATGCAGCGTTAGTAAACCACGTTTATTTGAAGTTTTTAAATATACTGCTGTCATCAATTTACGATATCTGGTTAAACATTCTTGAATTATTAAAAATCAGTTGGAAATGTCATTAGAATGATGTTGTGGTGTGTTGTAGCCTACAGTTATAGATTTTGTTTGTTTTATATACGAGGATCGAATTCCTGCTTTAAAGTCATTGAATGTATTGTATAAATTACCGGTCCTTGCTTTCAGTAAGGCTGTATGGGTCCACTAAAACAAAATTGTTAACGCTAAATTACCGGTCCTTGCTTTCAGTAAGGCTGTATGGGTCCACTAAAACAAAATTGTTAACGCTAAATTACCGGTCCTTGCTTTCAGTAAGGCTGTATGGGTCCACTAAAACAAAATTGTTAACGCGAGTGAAGGAACAAGGTAACCTATGACCCCTATTAAGTGAAGTGTACTTAAACATACCCTAGGAGGCTGTGACGTTTTATCCATTCTGATTGGTTCAAGATTTTAGGAAGGACCAATGAGGAACAGATCCTCGGTATAAAAAAAAGAGTTTAAGCATGCTGTCGCAGAACGTTATTAGAACAGTAAGCTAGTTAAAGTAATATTGAACGTTAAACTGGTACGCAATTAAAAACGTTTTATTTAGGTCTATCCATGGTCTTCAAAAAGTTGACGACTCTACATGTCTCGACGTTACAACGTCATCTTCAGTAAGCCAGTTGGTTTTAGTCGTTTGCTTATAACCATGTTGATGATAAGTATAAAGTTTATAGTTTCAAAATCAAGAAAACTTGTTCCGGAACTCTGCATAAATCAGACTAGTTTAGCTATTTGCTGTGTTTGGTCGAGCATGGCTCGGTTGTTAGTGTGCCGTAACTGTGAACTTTAGGTTTCGTTACCTATTGTTGCAAAAAGGTACTCCGCACTTTCTGACCATTGGTAGTGTTGCGTCAGCGAGTCACATGACTACTGTGATGCAACGTTTCTAAAACTATCATGTACTTTGGCGAATGCTCTAGTATTTGCTAGATAGGGTAGGCTGGTATATAAAAGAGGGGAATGTAATGTGTGTGTAGACAGTGAGTAATTGAACTGCAGTCACAGGGTATTGTTGAAGTTAACGTTCGTTCGTTACAGTGTTGTTTTAGCGCGAGTATTGAAGTTGAGTGTATCGGTAAAGTTGTATTCGGAAAGAATAAACCAGTTTTATTAAGTGAAGACTTGTGTCGTTAAAGTTTCGTTGGAACGAAGTTACGGAAAAATCAATTAACAAACGGAGACGTAACAGTAGCAATAAGTGACGGTCAAATCCCAATATTCAATTAGAAAACGGCAGTGGTTAACTGTATTGAAATATAAGGTTAACCCTAATTCCTTAATTGAAAAGCTAGTGCGTTTGCGCCCTATCACGAGCGGAAAGCTTTCAGTTATTTGTTTGGTAGTGTGTAAACTTCGATTACTTAACTTCTATGCCACTGTGTTTTAAAATGCTATAATTTCTGCTGACTTATTGTAATTAATATTAAAGATAATTTATTTTAAAGTGACTACAAAATTTGTTATTTCTACTTTATAGGGATAGAAAATCAAGCTATGAAATATTTATAGCTATTTACTGTTTTCAACACTTTGCCATGGATCCACTGATGGCAGTGCAAACTATAAGAAACTGTGAGGTGATCTACGTCTTAGTCAGATTAGCCCGCCATCTACATGTGAAAGTGTGAAACTTCCATATTTTGGTTAGTGACTTTGAAAACGAAACGTACTCCAATAGGTAAGGTAATAATAAAGCTTAGCTTTGAAAACAATGTCGGTGATCTCGTAAAAGCTTTTATATTGTGGATGAAGACCAGAACTAGAACCGAGATTTGATATTTGAATAATCCTGTTTTTTGTGATGTTATATTTTCGAGGACTTTCTTCGTGTTGTTAACAGCCAGATACACTTCCACAAGCAAATTTCACCAGATATAATAAACTGAGTTTCTGTTCTTTATTCCTGATCACAATTAACGAAACCAGCCCCATTCCAGCCTTGCCCCCCCTCCCAATATTGCAAAATGATTGAAGTTTAGGTAGGTTCTATCCAAGCGTTCATTGGTTCGCCATTTCATCTTCCAATATAGTTAGCGTGTAAACTATAATGAATTCTAGCAACTGTAAATAATAAAGCTACCGACCAATCGGAGCAAGTGTACTAGAATGGCCAAAATCTGATAACAGCCAAATGGTGAGGAGTTCCGAAAAAACTGCAATAGCCTCTTCTGTCCCATAGTGCATGTGATAAGCACATGACTGTTCGTAATACCACTAGAAAAATGTAGATACCTCAAGGTATCACCTGACCTGCCAAATGGAATAGATCAGTGTCTACCTTTACCTTTTTTTTATATTTTCGGCAGAAGTCTATCTAACAATTGTCTGTTTCACGTGGTTCTTAATCTATTGGAATAACGTGCTGTCTATTCCATGTAGACGTTTAAAAACAATAAATCATAGTAGTGCTCACTGTCATGTGTCTGTATAATAAATATGGTGGGAAATCATAGTAGTGCTCGCTGTCATGTGTCGGTATAATAAATCGTAGTAGTGCTCGCTGTCATGTGTCGGTATAATAAATCATAGTAGTGCTCGCTGTCATGTGTCGGTATAATAAATCATAGTAGTGCTCGCTGTCGTGTGTCGGTATAATAAATCATAGTAGTGCTCGCTGTCGTGTGTCGGTATAATAAATATGGTGGGAAATCTATTTACCAAACTTGTGTATAAACAAACAAGAAATGGGCTTAAATTATATTCTCTGATTACATATTAACAGTTTACCTCAAAGATATAATCAGTTTGTTTTGTTATTCCTTTTTTTTTTTTTTTTCTTCCTGGCGAGGTAGTCATAATGTATTCCGCTACACAGCACTATTTTCCACGAGAAAGCGCACGTGTTACTAAATGCAAATTAATCGGAACGAAGTCGAACGGAACTATACACGAGTCTAAAAACGTGTACGTACGAAATATTAAGTTCTTTAAACATTTGCCTTATTAAATTTAAAAAGTTAAATATATTTTGTTTACCATAATATTAAGCAATAAAAGGCATAACTTCAAACTTTTAAAGGTAGCGTATTATCTCAAACAACTGTTGTCATTCCCGCCATTACGTGACGAACTACTCTCATTAACAATATGTAACGTTCGAATTATCGTGGTTCACTACTGTTTAGCATCCTAAAAATATCAGTATTGTTGCGTCAGCGAGATCACGTGACTATTCTCACGCCCTCTGCTTTCTAGAACTGTCCTGTACCTTGGCGAATGCTCTAGCATTTACTAGATATAGGGTAGCTGGTATATAAAAGAGGGTTACAACGTGACAGAATAATGTGTGTGTAGATAGTGAGTAATTGAACTGCAGTCAGAAGTATTGTTGACGTTCGTTGATATAGCGTTTGTTATAGAGTGACTGTTGAAAATAAGTGTATCGTACAGTTGTATTCGGAAAGAATAAACCAGTTTTATTAAGTAAGGACTTGTGTCGCTAAAGTTTCGTCGGAACAAAATTACGGAAAGTTAATTAACGAACGGAGACGTAACAGTATTGTAATTTTATTGGACTGGGGTCGTTCGTTATCAGACAAGGAAGGTGGTAGTTTTGAATTTAAAGAAACTTGATTCGGTATGGGTGGTACGTTAAGACGGACAATTTTATTAAAAAGGCGATTCGGCTTGGTTCGTATTTATACCTTGGTATTACTTTTTTAAATATATTTTTTAACTTGTTTATTTAGTAGGGTGTGTGTGTGTGTGTGTATGCGCATAGTGTTAATTGTTCTCAATTAACTACGAACAGTATTTAATAAGCTTTACTGGGTTAATTTTTATTCTTTATATAAGTAACTAACTTGCTTTGATCAGAATATGTTAATTTCTTTACGTGCTGTGTAAAGGTACGGGAAGTTTGTTAGAATTAAACCGCAAACTTTTAAATTGTTTACTGCTCGTTAAACCTATATTTTAATAAATTATTTAAATAAGAAACATTGAAGTACCTCTAATTGAGTTTTGCAACAATTAATTTTATATCACGTTATACCTACTAATGAATGGTTTCTACTTGGTGTTAATTTGGATAGGGGGCGCAAATCAAACTCTGTTTATTAAAATTTTTTTTAAAAATGACACGAAAAAGATAGAACATTATACAAACAAACTTTATGCCTAACCTACCTCAAGGAGAAACGTGCCCAGTCCACATTTTCTAGGTTTCTTCCGAAGAGACAGCAATACCAGAAAAAAACTACCTTCGTGCCGGGTATTCTGGAAAAACTTCACTACATGTTTAAAAGAGACATTTTAAAGTTCGGAATAGCTACAAATATGTTAAATACAGCTAAACAAGAAAAAATAAAATATTTAAAGTTTGTAGAAAATAAAAATTTAATAAAAAAACACTACAGCGACATCTCTCGGCAATCGTTTTAAATTGAATTTATATGTTATGATTAAAAATGCAGAAACTAATAATTTCTACCACAAAAGAAAATCAGAAATTTGTCATTATAATGAAACTTTTTAAGAAAACTAATTTGTATTTTTGGGTAACACTTGTATTACTCTTATTTTCCAAGTTTTCAAACTAAGTAATTTTGGAACAGTTTCGTTAACATTATATTTGCTGACCACTAAATATTAAAAGTTTGACTTTGAAACTGGGTTGAGATTTATCAACGATAGAACCGACAACCTGCTTTAGAATGTAAACTTCCCATTCGCTCTTCAAACAGGTTTGTAGGATTGTGCACGTAGCTGTATGTGCGATATAAGCGTTTAGCCGTTCCGACTTTCGAGCTGATAGACTAGAGGGAAGTTAACTAGTAAACATTTCTAACTCTTGAATTACATTTATCAGACCTTAAAGTGGGATTTGACTTTTTATTTTAACTCTGTGCTGAGCGCGATTATTATTATTATTATTATTATTATTATTATTATTATTATTATTATTATTATTATTGATAACGGAACCTCGGCTACTCGGGTTGCCACATTAACCGCTTGGCGGCGCTTGACCTTTTAGAAGAAAGGTCCACCTTGCGAAAGGGGTGCTTTGGTTTAATTTATGTAGTGTTGTATTCCGCATGACATTAATATCATGAATCAGCTTTAAGAAGTACCTAGCTCTAATATCTTCTAGTGGCGAACCCACAAATCATTCAGCGGTAAGTTTAATCGCGTATAAATATTTAAGATGGGTTTTGATGCTAGTACGCACAGTACAAATAGCCCACTGTGTAGAATTACGTTTAACCACAAACAAACCGAATTTTGTGGCGATGAAAACAAACACGATACGATGTGACGCTCTTTGTCAATCGAATCTGTTGCAAAAATGTATACTATGGGCGACATCTATTGGTAGCGGTTGTTACTAGGTTTTAAGTTTTTACGAATTGCTAATATAATAACAAACTTATTTTCATTTATTTTACATCTGACTTTTTATTTTTAATTGCATTGTTGTGTAAGAGTGAAATAACTGACCCAATTTATCAAACTTTTATGGTATTTCGGAGATTTATCCCAACTTTTGTTTTTATTATCAGAAACCAAAGAATCCATCACTAGTAGGCCCTTACGATGCTCTAGTTGTTAAGGCCGACAACTCGACCCTGGAATTTTTTCGCAAAACCTGTTTTACCAATGACATCATACTCAACAGTAAATATAGGTAATAATACTTGTCTTGTTGTTGTTGTTGTTTTTTTGGGGGGGGGAGGTTATTACTGTCCTATCGGAGAATCACTTTTCGAATGTTAAAACAAAATAATTCCATAAACTTAAAACGACTTGGTTAATAAACTAGTAAGATTTTATTTATTTATTCATTGATAAAATTCTTATCACGGTGATTACGTCATCATATTTGTTTCCATAGAGACGTAGATGGAAGAAGAACGATTGTACTCTGATGACGTATCTTCTGCCTTTTGATGGTAAGTTTGAAGAATAATATCTAAAAGGGCGAAAATAAAATACTGAAAATTTTGAAGTAAAATCAATAATAACAATGTTGACTTGTACAACTTGACTTTTTAATGAAGTTGTTTAGAGAAATGAGTTTTGATCTTCTTGAATGACGTGTGGATTATTATTTTTGATTGACTAAATTTATAGTGCTTCTTCTCGATTATTCTATTAAGAATAATGAGTAAAAAAAATTGGGATTATTATAATGTCAGTTGACCTATCCTAACGTTCATAACTCAAACTGATAATTGCAGAACTACAATTTGTAGACGAACCAATGAGACTATTACCCTGATGGAACTAATCCTCAATAGAGGGTGCTATCCATAAAATTGTATACCGGAGTCCATAAAATCAGCATATAATATGCCAAATATAATTTTTGAATACTTACGATCCATACGTTGACTCCAGGGAGGAGTTTGAGTCCAATAAGGATCATTATCAAGTACTATTCAGAACGAAATACACCATGTTTGACGTTAGATTTTATTATTCTCGTCATACAATTTTCACTAACAGCGCCCTTTATTAATTAATTTAGCGACAACTGCGCCCTCTAGTTTTACCACCGGAATCTTTTTTTTCCATTATTTTATTAGTTCATCTAACAAATGGAACAGTTCTCTGGATATCGATCTTGGAGTTCGAAACATTAGGCCATCTAATTTTATAATAGGCTAGTTTTAAAATTAGCAAAAGCATAAATGCGTCTTTTACAATCCCTCTAGGTCATTACCCTCTTCTCCCTGGGATCACAGAATGTAATGACGAAATAATTACTTCTGTTTCATAATAATTGTTTCCATGTAGGAACAAGATGACAAGCATTCAAGTAGCAGCAGTTTTTAATCTATTTGAGTTTTATCGATACAGCTTGAAGTTGTATTTTCATCAATAACTTTAGGGAGAGGAAAATTAGTTCAGTTAATTCTGTGGAAAACAATCTTATTTCACGAATTGGTTTAATAAGGCCACGAATATCACGTGACCGCTATCCATTGTATAATATTGTTACGTCTCTGGTCGTTTGTTAATTTTCCGTAAAAATTCTTCCCAAGAAACTTCAGCGATACAAGTCCTTTCTTAAATAAAACTAGTTTATTCTTTCTCAACTCAACTTTGCAATACACTTAATTTCAACAGTCACTTTAACTTAAACTCACGCTATAATTCACAACGATTCACGCACTTTACTTACGGTCACTACCGCGCTTGCCTCGATTATCCGTCTATTTGTCTGCAATTCTATTCCGATTAATTAATTTCGCTTTATCTGGCGCACTTGTATACAAGAATAGAGGGTGCGTAGAGAAGACCAGAGTTGACACGATCCTTCTAGAATATCATGACGTGTTACTAGCGTCACGTGACTTCCGCTGTCGTAACAATACCAAGAAGACTTGGACGTAAATGTTTATTTTCAAGTTTTTTTTT